CGGCCGCGCCCGAGCCCGAGCCCGAGCCCAGGATGGAGGATTCCCGGGAGACGTCGCCGTCCTCCACCAACTCCTCGGAAGAGCTCAGCTCTGCCCTGCGGCTGTCCAAGGGCATGTCCATCTTCCTCGACGTAAGTACAGGTGGAAGGAGCAAGGCTGGCGCTCCCGCAGAGTCCTCGCTCCTCCCCGGGAGGACACGGGTCGGCACAAGGTGCTGGACCGGCCAGTGCTTTGCCCCAGAGCACGGGTGACAACTCCCCCCTTTCCAGAGAACCACCGAAGCAAATGCAAGAGAAACGACTGCCACTCAACTTGTTAGAAAAGGGCTGTCCAGACCTGCAGCTTGGGGCTTGCCAGCCCTCAATGAAATTCTGGAAGTTAGATTTCCCAGCAGCTGGGGTTTGATAGGGACAGGACTGTGAATGCCACAGTCTCCATCTGGGTGGACAGGACATTTTAGAGAGGTATACGGGGCGGGGGGAGGTTTGTCCCAACTCATCTCTAATGTTCCCGATTTGCAGCCCCCGACCTCGTGGGTGCTCCGAGGCCACCAAGGGAAGCAGTAGCGATTGCGATGTCCCGCTATCCTCCCCCAGCACCTTGGAAAACAATTATTTGGAATACATTTTTCTTTTGACTGTGGTGGTCAAGATCTCCTTCATGATGATTCTTTTTTCACTGCCATCGTCTGTTTTTCCTTTTTTCCTTTCCTGTTGCTCTCCTTCCTCATGCCTCTCCAAGTTGTAATTACTGTTATTATTTTCATCAGTGCTAGCTTTTGGCTGTTTTCCCTTTGGTCCTATTCTTCACTTTGGTATTGACTTCTTTCCTCCATTTCTCTGATATGATAATCATTCTCTCTTTTCCTTCTGTGCTGTTTTTCTGCGCTCACGCTGTGGTTTCTATCTTTACAGCAGTTTCCTTTCTTATTTATTTCTCAATTTTGCTTTACTCTCCCTTCCTGCTGTTTCTGTTCTCTGTATTTTTCTCCCTGTTGCCTGGCTCTTTTCTCTGCCGTTAGGTTTCATGGTTTTTCTCTCTCCATTGCCTGTGGGGATCCCGGCTCTCCCAGCCCCTCAGTTGTCACATTTATGCTGTCCCCCAAGGTAGTGTCTGGCTCAGTGGGGACAATTCTGGCTGCTTCTTGTTTAGGCATGAGAGAAGATGGGAAAAGGAACCGAGGCACTGTGTGCTCTTTCCTCTACCCTCCCCTGACTGATCATTTCTTATTAAAATCAAATTGAGTGGGAGGTGAGCCAGAAGCCAAATACATTTATTTGTGGAAAGATGAAAATATGAGGAAATCAAATTATTAGTATCAAAATGGTGAGGTAGAGATAATGAAGATAATGGGGGGAGGGGCAAGGAGCCTCCTGAAGTTTATTTTGAATGGATTTGCTGGAATTTTTTAATTGGGAGAGAAAGTCCTATCAACAATTAAAACTGGTCTAAGGTTCAACTGTGGATTCTCACAGCCTTCTCCCCTTATGACAATGTGGTTCAAATTGGGGATCCAGGCATTCTGGGCCTGTCATCTTCCTACCGAAACATAAGTGTCTGATTCCACTCAGTCACTCAGTAGATTGTTAAGTATCCTGTTCTTCGTGAGCAATTTTCTCTGCTTGGCTGGAGCCAATCCGATGATGTTATTGGTGCTAATGGTTTATTTAACTGGATGATATTATTCTGTTCAAGTCCTGTTGTTTAGGACCATAAAGCCCTTGAGGAACTGAGCAGGGAGAAGAGAAAGACACTATAGCATGTCTGAGAAGGAAATTCTCAGGGGCAAGAGAGAGTCAGAGCCCCCGAAAATCATGTCGGCTGTGAGACTGATGACTAAGTTGCCATGAAGTTGATTCAAGGAGGGCAAATGGGGCCTCCATTCATTCTGACCTCATGTTCACTCTGTTCCCCAAGGATATCAAGGGCTTCCATGTGAATTTTTTTAAGCAGATAACAGTTCCTGCTCATAGAGTGGAGATAAATGGATTGAAGCTATATAAATGGAAAGTCATCTCCCTGACACACACACACTGATCGTGGCCCAAGTGTTTAAACAGTTGTTTAAAAAAAAAAAAGAAGAAAGAAAGGAAGTTAAATGTTACTTATTGTTATATACACACAATTGTTCCTAAGTCTGTAAACAAATAACATCAGGTCCCTGTCTTTTTTTCTTCTTTTTTTTTTTTCCTTTTTTTTGAGACCAGCCGTACCCTTGTCCTTTTTTGAGACTGGCTGCACCACGCTCAGCCAGTGAGCGCACCGGCCATCCCTATATAGGATNGTCCTTTTTTGAGACTGGCTGCACCATGCTCAGCCAGTGAGCGCACCGGCCATCCCTGTATAGGATCCGAACCCGCGGCGGGAGCATCGCTGCGCTCCTGGCGCTGCACTCTTCCTAGTATGCCACTGGGCCGGCCCACGTCCCTGTCTTGAAGGAAGTTGTCATCTATGAATAGACACACTTGCCTTCCTATATTTCTAGGATTTAAAAATAAAAACATAAAACCGATTCCACATGAGAGGTGTTGACATGCTTACTTGTCAGTAAAATGCTAGAGTTTACAGAAAATAAAAAGAGAGGAAAAAAATACAACTGCCAGTGGATTTTGTCTGGAACAAAAAAGACTTTGTTTACACTTTATTTGAGTTATTTTGTGGAAAATATAACACTCTTATGAAATATGTGACATGAAAAAGGATTTGTTACTTAGGTACTTTTGAATTATTCATTTCTGGGTTACATTGCTTTTAGCAAAATAAAATGTGAAATATCAATACATTATTTTATTTAATTAGATTTAACATATTCTAGTAGCACTGCTAAAAGGATTTCTTTTAAGATTCTATTCAGATTGTAATAAATGGGTGATAGATATTACTTACTCCAAGCTGGAATAGAAATGAAACCTGTTGGAGGCTCCTTCATCACACAGACATTTCCAAATTTGAGGAAAACTTTGATTTCCAGTGCTTATATTCCAACACCACTGACATAATTAGCCCTGTAAGAAATGATTTAAACTGCTTTTGAGAATGCTGTAATGACGTAACTGGACATGTGCAGATGGTTAGAAACTAGACCTACATGTTTAACACGAAAATCAGAGAGAGATTTACCACACTGTCAGATTTTGTTTTATTCTCCTTATCTCCAAATCTGCAGTAATACTGAGCATGATACTTACTTCCCAAGGTTGTTGTGTGAAATAAGAGTTCATAGGCTGGAAAACTGAGGAAAAAAGGAAAAGTGCTATATAAATTCAAAGTAGTACATTTACATCAGTGTTTCATGTTGAATGCATAAGTAATGGTAGCTAAATCCACAAACTAGTACAGGCACTGTTTCTTTATGAATCTAATTTATATGATTTTTTAAAATGACAGAATTAAGTATCAGTTCATCATAAATGCTCTTGAATACCTATGGGTGGGGGTGGGGGGAGTTTAGTAAACCTAGTACCGATACCAAGGCATGCCAGCTTTAGAACACCAAGGTTATGGGTTCAGATCCCCCTACTGGCCAGCCACCAAATAAATAAATAAATAAAACACTCCCCCCAAACACTAAAAAATGCCAAGGTACACCAATGCAGTGGGGGTAATGTGGGCGTTTGCACAGGGCACACCTGCCAGCCACGGGAGAGAGGCTGAACTGCATTCAGTGTGCAGTAACGCAGAAGGACCGGGAAGATGACAGTCATTTTTCTTTCTGCGTCAGTGTACTATCTTTTCCTAGGCTGCTGCATTCCAGATAAGAGAGTGATTCTAGTTTAGAATATTAGTCCGTACAGCATGTGGACCCTCTGCTGAGCCATTAAATTAATCAAATCTGCTACTGTGAAAAGGAAGAAAAACAAACGTTCACCTCATCCCCGAGAGCAAGAGAAATCCCAAATGAAATTAGTTGCAGCTCCACCCATCCAACGCCACTCTCGTCTCCCCACAGCTTCCCTTTGATTTTTAACTGGGAGGGGAGTGGCCCTTCCCCACTTCACTGGTGAGGTGTATGGAAGGTCGTGAAGGAGAGAGGTGACTTTACTATGTGTCTTTCCTCCCTTCCCCCATCCAGGCATGCACACCCACGTGCACCCTGAACACAAGGCCCAGTGCCTGGATGGTCAGGGACTTGGTGAAAACGAGTAGTAGATTTTCCTCACAAGGACACTTAATTCCAAAGCCTTGTATACGCTCATTGGTATCAGAGGTGAGATGGGCAGAAGACTACCAAAGCAGAGTTTTCTAGACACAATGTTTCTGTGATTGAATTCTGTCACAGCTACACATCTCCTGTCTCACCTAGTCACACATGCACAGTTTATTATTTGTGTGAGATTGTCCAGTTGGGAGAATAGCTGTTAATCCCATCATTGTCTACCCTATTTGATAAGGCAGAGGTCACTCTATTAGTTTCAGGAACCAACAAAAATTAGAAAAACTTAACTTTACTGTTATCATGCATTAAAAATTGTTTTTCCTGCATAGAGCCCTCCGTAGGCAAACTTGAGATGAATTACTTTTGCTGATTACTTGTGCTGATTACTTTTCCTTCAATCGTCTTTCAGTGCCTGCTTGCCCCATCCTATCTCATGGTGACTAGTGGCCTGGTAGCAAAACTACCTGCTGGATGTCCAGGCCCACACACCATGACTCACCTACTGAGTCTTCCCTTCTGGATGGTACTCCATATTCTGGATGCATCCCAATTTCTTGTCCTATATCCCAGCTTCTCAGGAATCTACCAAGTGACTGACGAGCTCATGTCATTGAATTTTAACCTGCTACATGGTAGGAGGCACTTAGCAAGTATTAGTCCAGTGAATGGTGATTATGTCAATTTTTTATGCTTCCAAGATAATGTTTACATTTTAACACCTGCCTTCAATAACCTAATGTGAGGAATGAGGAATTTCAGTCAAGGCCATCAGTGAATCTTTTGAGGTTAAAGGAATCTATTTGGTAATCCTTAAACTGCAGCAAAAACAAAGTATGACCTGTACTTAAAATGTAAGCCAGAGCATAATATTTAACTTTATTTCCTATCCATCTAGTGATAGCAATCATATGATTAGCTGACCCAGATTACTGTGGTAACATAAAATAATGAACTCAATTCTCATGCACAGTACATTTTTTATCAGTCTGTGAACTCAGACAAAATTGCAGCAGAGATTTGCTCATATTAATTACAAAGAACTCTTAATAACAAAAGCTACTGTCTTAATTTCCTCTTTAAGAGTCTGAATGCCACTTAAGATTTTTCTTTATGAAATGAAATGACAGAAGTCCTGGGTCCACCTCCCTGGTAGGTGGTTATTCCTATTCTAGTCACTTCAAATTGTCAGGACACAATAGAGATTGGAGTAGGATCTTAGAGTATATGAAAGGTAAGAAATAGGATGTGTTTTGTGTCCACCTGACTATCAGCTGGGACTCTGCGGTTTCAGAGGAGAGGAAGAAACTGGTTGTGTTGGAGTATGGATCCCCAGAATCCTCACTAGCAACTACCTCTATGGAATAAAACGAATTTGGGTCTCATTTTGCTCTGAACATAGTTCTTGTTATTGAAAGCATTCTTCCTGCAATAATTTAGTCAATTTAGTAAAAAGGAGGACCAACTTCTAATCACACAGGTCAGGGTGATACCTCTCTTGCTTGAAAAGTTTCAGGAGTGAGAGTTTTAGCTAATAGTATAACAGAAAGCAGTAAAATAGACAACTTGGGAATAAAAACTATTACTCATGTTTTAAGCTGGCCCCAAGAAGTTACGATCTAAATATAAGAGTAGATCTGGTTATTTAACTATGACTACAGGTTACTCAGAAAAAAAATGATCTTCAAGGGCCCCTTCCAAGTAATTAAAGTCAGTCTGGGCTATATGGTAGAGGAATATTTTCTTTGATACTATATATTGCATATCTCTGTTTTATATTATCCATATTTTTTTCTATCAGTATATGCATCAATTAGGGTTCATTTGATGGCATCTAACAGAAAAAAATAACTCAAACTGTCTTAAAATGCAAATAATAATAAATTTTCTCCTGTAATGAAAAGCAGAGATCATCTCATCAGGATGACTTGATCAGAGAGCACCA